CCCCCGTTTATTAATTGTGGATCGTGTGGGCATAATATCTTCACAGTATTTATATTTTCTTTTTTGAAAGCTTTTAAAATGTCGAGGACATTAGCCCGTGTTATTCCGTCGTTTCGTAGTGATGTTCGATCTTTAATTTAGGTTTCTAATCTCAGCCACGCTGAATCTCGTGCGAGCATTTTTATCTAGTATTTCCATCTTTCAATTGGGGAGTTAATTCTCTCTCAGACCCGGTTGTCCTTGGCGGGCAGGATCAAAGCACGCCTCGTATTTAATCTGTATAGTGTTGTTGTGGGTGGGAGAGGAGGGGGGGGGGGAAAGTAAAACTCCTACATGTACTTCAACAACTATTTTCAGTCGTAATGACTACGTTAGACAGATGCTCTGGTTGACGTAAATTTTTTTCACTTTTTATTCTTCTTAAAGCCAAGCAAAAGTGCAGCCAAAAGGGATTGCTAGTTACATATATTGACCGTAACCGGATGGATATTGAGTCATACCAGCAGGAATTGTTATATAGATCAGTGTTTGCCAACCTTTATATAACAAGCGCGCACTTTTGTGACCTTCAGGATGCTAATGTTTGCCTACTGCCCTCCTGCATGAACTTCAGAACGGGTAGGGTGATGAAATAATTCCTGTTACTGACCGGGCGATCCCCACCGCCCACCAGATTTACCAGCTCGTGTACCAGAGGGCGATATCGCTCAGGGTGGCAATTGTTGATCTAGATATTAATAGGCTGGGTTTTACGGCTCCTGTCAAGAGTCCCACGGGATGTTGTTGTCAGGAAGTTGTGAAAGCTCTATGATATTGTTTAATCCCTGTCGCAGATGCCGCCTTGTGAATGGACTATGAGTTTATAAATGTGCCTGAACATGATGTGTAAAATATATATTTTCTGGAAACACAACAAGGTCTTAACTGTTTTAATACCTTCCTTATACAATGATGATGATGATGATGATGATGATGATGACGATGACGATGACGATGACGATGACGACGACGACGACGACGATGCTAATGACGACGACGACAACGACGACGATGATGATAATGATGATGACAACAATAACAACAACAACAACAACAATAATAATAATAATAATGATAATAATAATAATAATAATAGTGATCATGATTATGATGATGGTAATAATTTTGATAATAATGATAACCAGGGCAGTTCGTTTACTTTTTACCAGTTCGACAGTGGACAAAAAGATATGTTGATAATAATTTTCATGAAGTTTCAAGTGTCTAGGACAATCTCCGTGCTTTTCCTAAATATTTTCACAAACCTTATACCTTCCCTCAATGTGTAAAGACGACCCGCACGTTTGCAGGGAAGTTTTCGCAATTGGTTGATCAATCCAAAATTCGGTGGAATCGGGCTGTCTTTACGCTTTCCTATTACATGTAGTAATATGGTATATATATATATATACCCCCCCCCCCTTCCCGGAAAAAAAACCGTTCATAAATTTGCATACTAGAGAAACGGCTTTCATTCATGTGTGTGTGAAATATTTTGTTGAGTCTCTCCGTCTGTCTGCTTTCCCAGACTGTCCCTGTGGGTGGGTGGCGGGTGTTCTGGTGTGGTTTGCTTCTTCTTTCCTATGGAACATCTATCGTCCTTATCTCCCCCTTCTTTTTTATGTTTGTTACTCTCTTGTAACACCTCTAATCTTCTGGCGCTCATTTGACTTTATTATGCAGATGCGATCGCCGTAAAACCTCTACTAAAACAGACTGTCCCTGACTCACGACCTGAAACACACAGCTACCTAAATTGACTTTAAAAGTTGTTTCATAGTCATTTAATTTCTCTGAGGAAAAAATGTCACCGTTTCCTACGCATATTCCTCCTCCCATTATCCTCAATACATATTTTCCCCTTTCTTCTTAATTCATTATTTATGGGTCCTGGTGGGTAGATTCACTGCGAGTTCTCTAGTCTGTCTGTCTTTCTGTCTTACATTGTTCCCAATATCATGCCGATGTGCTTCTTTTTACTGAAGCGAGCGACCAAATAAACAAACAGAAAATCATTCAAGACAGCTCCTTATATTTCTTTTTTGTCTCAGGGAAAGAGTCGAACTGGGTTTTTCAAGCAAGCGAAGAAGTCGTATCCCATGTTCCACTTTGTGGAGGAGAAGATCAAGTCTGACGAGTATGGAGAGCTCATCAAGTAAGTCCACGACAGACAAAGCCTTATGGGCATTTGTTTTTCTATCTATCTATCTATCTATCTATCTATCTATCTATCTATCTATCTATCTATCTATCTATCTATCTATCTATCTATCCC